CAATCAAATATCTATTGTATTATCGGATTGGATCAAATCGGATATAGGCAGATCCTCTGATCCATTTACTATCCTACTACTAAGTATCTATGGCTAAGTGGTTTAAGTGTCAATGATAGTAAGTCAATTTCTACTAAATACAAGTAAAGGGATTAGAATTGGCTGTATCAATCAATTTTGTAAAAATTGAATCGGACCAATCGATTCATTCGAAAAAATTAAGAAACCGAACAAAAACCGGACTGTGCAACTAAAGATCATGAAAAACCGGTCTAACCACAAAAAATCGCTTAACCAGGACCGGTTTTAGTGCTTCGCTTTTTCCCATGAAAAAGGGTGAAAAAAATTGAACATACAGAGCACCATGACTTGGACTTAAAGGCGCAAGGTACAACTTATATCCCAAAATTTAGGTCAAAAATCAGGTATATCTCACCTAACTAATCTCACTCTAATCCTAATTCATTTTTACCCACACAAACGGTCACAAAAACTTCAACTTCATTCCACTTTTCTCGGGTACGATCACCTTCTTCACTTCTTTGGCACCTACGGTGGCACATCAACGTGAATGTTGTGAGTGTGGTGGTGTGAATTTTGCGGTGATGGTGGTGATCTGCTCGTGGTTGTAGTGGTACGGTGGTGATGATGGTAGTGAGATGATGGTGGATGTGGGGTGGGGTGGGCTGGGCTGGGCTGGGGCGGGGCGGGCGTTTGTTGAAAGTGGTGTGGTGATTTGTAGATCTAAGGCGACATCGACGATGTTTGGAGTGGTGTCGGCGGTGGAGGAGTGCAATTGGGGTGACGTAGGGGAGATGAACGGTAACTTATGACCGGTTAATTGGGTTATTAAGACTAGTTAATTTGATAATATGTGAACACTTAAGTTTATAATTTGTGATCATATATAAATTGTGATTAATTAATTTGATAATTTGTGAACGATAAATAAGTCGTGACCTATAAAAATGTGTGATTTATAACTAAATTTATAAATGTGACTAGCACGTATCTGTTGTCATAAATTATATGTTATTGTGATATTAACTTATTTAATTATTTATTTAGTTAATAACATTTGATCTTTGAAAGAATTTCACAAATTTGTTAAGTTTTAAAATGTATCTTTAAAAGTTCATAGTTACGTATTTTTCCCCTATTTACTCCCTCGGTCCAATTTATTAAGAAATTTTTACTTATCATGTCATTGCATGTTAATTTTATTTGAAAGAAAAGTATAATAAATTTAAAGCTCAATATGATTTCCTTCTTGACTTGATTTTTTTTTATTTCCAATTCAATCTATATTTCTCATTTAATTTTATTTTAACACCAACAAAATGTTATATATTAATTGTCTTGCTTTCTATTGACATTAGAAGTGGTCAAGTGATAAATATAGTCAAGTTTAATGAGTGCTTTTATTCAAACTAGTCACAACTAAATGTGTGTTGCACGTTATTTTGAAATGATTTATACACACTGTAAAAATAATATTTGAAAATCAGTTAATATAAAAAATAGTTAAAAAAATTGTTTATGTGAAATGAACTTTTTATACAATTCAATTATTTATTTACGTGTATGGTAATAATTAACATCAATTTATATATATCATACTATAATTCACTACGATAATCCGTTAACTAAATTGATCAAATATGGATATAGGTCAATTCGATCCAATAACAATCCGATTCGATTTGTTATAAATAATTGAGTCGTAAAATATTTTTATGCCATGTTATTTGTGAGTAAAATAAATAAATTTATAATAAAAAAAGTCATCAAATTCAAAACATAAAAAAAGTTGAAAATTTTATAATTATTAAACTCGTTTAAGATTTGAAAAAATTGGAAAAAAATAATAATAAAAGTTGATTCCAATATTATTTTTTTCCTAAGTTCTTTAATTTTGGATCGGATTATCGGATAATATAGCAAAATGGATATGAATTTAAGAATCAAATATATATTGTATTATCGGATCGGATATAGGTAGATCTCCGACTCATTTACTGTCCTAGTACTAAGTATTTGTGGCTAAGTGGTTTAAGTGTCAACGATAGTAAGTCAATTTCTACTAAATGCAAGTCTAAAGGGATTAGAATTGGCTGTATCAATCAAATTTTGAATCGGACCAATCGATTCGTTCGAAAAAATTAAGAAACTGAACAAAAACCGGACTGTGCAACTAAAGATCATGAAAAACCGGTCTGATCACAAAACCGCTTAACCAGGACCGGTTTTAGTGCTTCGCTTTTTCCCATGAAAAAGGGTGAAAAAAATTGAACATACAGAGCACAATGACTTGGACTTGAAGGCCCAAGGTACAACTTATATCCCAAAAATTAGGTCGTGTTAAGTTATTCTTTAAAAAATCAGGTATATCTCACCTAACCAATCCCACTCTAATCCTAATTCATTTTTACCCACACAAAACTGTCACAAAAACTTCAACTTTATTCCACTTTTCTCGGGTACGATCACCTTCTTCACTTCTTTGGCACCCACGATGGCACAGCAACGATGTTGTGAGTGTGGTGGTGTGAATTTGCGGTGATGGTGGTGATTTGCTCGTGGTTGTAGTGGCACGGTGGTGGTGATGGTAGTGCGATGATGGTGGATGTGATGCGGGGGATTCGGGTGGGGTTGGGTGCAGTGGGGCAGGGGTTTGTTGAAAGTGGTGTGGTGATTTGTAGATCTAAGGCGACATCAACGGTGTTTGGAGTGGTGTCGACGGTGGAGGAGTGCAATCGGGGTGAGGTAGGGGAGATGAAGGGTAACTTATAACCAGTTAATTGGGTTATTAAGACTAGTTAATTTGATAATATGTGAACAATTAAGTTTATAATTTGTGATCATATATAAGTTGTGATCAATTAATTTGATAATTTGTTAACAATAAATAAGTCATGACCTATAAAAATGTGCAATTTATAACTAAATTTATAATCGTGACTAGTACGTATTTGTTGTCATAAATTATATGTTATTGTGACATTAACTTATTTAATTATTTATTTAGTTAATACCATCTGATCTTTGAAAGAATTTCACAAATTTGTTAAGTTTTAAAATGTATCTTTAATAGTTCATAGTTACGTATTTTTCCCCTATTTACTCCCTCAGTCGAATTTATTAAGAAATTTTTACTTATCATGTCATTGCATGTTAATTTTATTTGAAAGAAAAGTATAATAAATTTAAAGGTCAATATGATTTACATCTTGACTTGATTTTTTTTCTTTCCTATTCAATCTATATTTCTCATTTAATTTTATTTTAACAACACAACAAAATGTTATATATTAATTGTCTGGCTTTCTATGGACATTAGAAGTGGTCAAGTGATAAATATAGTCAAGTTTAATGAGTGCTTTTCTTTATATTAGCCACAGCTAAACGTGTGTTGCACGTTATTTTGAAATATTTTGTAAACGTTGTAAAAATAATATTTGAAAATCAGTTAATATAAAAAATAGTTAAAAAACTGTTTATGTGAAATGAATTTTTTAATACAATTCAATTATTTATTTACGTGTATGATAATAATGAACATCAATTTATATATATCCTACTATAATTCACTCAATTAATTTTTCAAGTTCATGTACACTTTATATATTTTGTGGGTTGTTCAATTGCTTTTGAAATACTACAATTCAATTATTTATGTATGTGCATGTATATTAATTAACATTTACTTATGGATATAAAAAAAATTTAACATTAAGTCATCAAGTTCATGTACACATGTTTTGAGAACTATTCAATTTGGGAGCTATTCAATTATTATAGAAGTAGATAAATTATCCAAATTCATGTACATTTATTTAATTTCAATATTATTCATTTAATATATGATATAACGACATTTGTCTAAATGTTTATAAATTATTATTTTTCTATATTCAAATTAATTAAATTAAATTTTGGTTCATGTACACCCATTTGTTTAAATGTATATAAATTATTATTTTTCTATATTCAAATTAATTAAATTAAATTTTGGTTCATGTACACTCCCTTTGTTTAAATGTATATACATTATTCTTTTTCTATATTCATTAATTCAAGCTAATTAAATTCCATGTTCATAAATCAATTTGATTGTTCTCAAATAATTCAATTATTTATTTACATGCATGTTTAATAATTAATATTCAATTAAATATATATATTGAAAAAGAAAAATTAAAGTACTATTGAAATAATTAAATTGTAGTAAAGCTAAAATCGTCCAAAAAATGATATTATAAATATATTAATTGATTTAGATAATTAACTTATTTTTTCAATTCTTGTGGTACATTTATTTGTGTTTTACAATCGGTTCAACGCCAATTCAACCCATCCCAATTCGATCCTGACCTTTTCTTTTTCAAGTCAGTGCCTGGTCCCATTTGGTATTCATTTATCACACTTCTATAAATGGGTTTAGTGCACTTCAGCAATTGATTTATTATTTCACAGGATGAAGGTATGAATGAAGCAAATTACAGAGAATGGAAGAAAAAAAGATGTTAAAAGTACAATTCATGTCAAAGAACATTATATGAATAAACCATCAAATTCATAATTTATAGAGAAAGAATGTCAACAAAACAAAAATCACTGGTTACAACCATAGACTATAACACGAGAAAAAGGGGGGGGATGGGATGACAACACATCGTTCCCAACTCCACTAAAATTACGACCCACAAATTCTCACACCAAAAATTAAAATTCAAAGAAAAATAAATGTCATTACCTGTCGTCGAATAAAAAAAGCATATGATGAAGTATCTGTAAATGTTTTTGTACTCACATATATCTCGAAACCATATACAGCTCCCGCAGCACGCCATTCAAAAAATCATTTAAGCCATGACCAACTTTAGTTCTGGCTATCGTCTCAACATCTGTTTGGCGTGAAATGTCCAAAGAGAGCAGCTCAATATTGAGAATGGATCATAAATAGAACAAAATTTTGTAGGTGGATTTTTGCTTATGCGTCAGCTCTTAGGAGCAATAGCCGCTAGGGCATTAGCGTGCAAGGGTGAAAGATTGCCCAAAAGAGGCTGCATCTGATGACCATAAACTGATATCAGGTGAGAGAATGCCCTGCCTATTTGCGTCTTGACTTCAGGTGCTTCTTCGGGTGATGCAGCAACTTGGGCAAATATATCAACCAGCTGGGGAACATTAGACAGGATCTGCAAATGGAAGAAAAAAAGGGAAAAAAACCCCGCAATAAGAGAAAAAATTGAAACATGAGTTATGGGCATAAAACAAATAATTTGAGTACCTGAGGATTAGATGATAAAACAAGATTACAGATGCAGCTATATACAGCTATTGATTCTTCCTTGTCCTCTTTCAAAGGAAGAACTTTCAAGAAAACAGGGAGGACCTGATAAAGCAACTGTGTGTTAAAAATAAAATTAGGGCAAATCCAAAGTAAAGAACCAGAAGATGAACCTGATTCAGAGGAATAGCCTCCGGGTGAACCATAATCATCCTTGCCACTGCACCAGCTGCATTGTCCCTAACTGCATTATCCGGCTCTGATTCCCCAAACAATGGATAAAGGCCACGTAGAGCATCATCATAGTATCTATTAGATATGTAAGGAGATATGAGTAAACATGAAAGAAAAGAGGATCAAATATATTAGCAATTAAGCTAAGTTAGGGTGATGTGAGCAAGCCAAATGCACAAAGATAAGGATCAAACACCACAAAGTCACCATCCCAACCCAATAGCAATCCTATAGATAGAGCAAGGAGTATGGGAGAATTCTTCACTGTGAATGGGAGGAATTTGATGATCCAATTCAAAACCATGCATTTTGTTTCATTGACTTGTGTGATGCATCCCTCAACGTTCCATTTTCTTAAATTGAGAAAAACTCGAAATACCCAAAGAATTTTTTTGGGTAAGACAGCGGTAAAAGTAATTACACATTAGACATACGGAAGGATACCTCAGAGCAGAGTTCCCACCATTTTTGCACAATTCGCCAACACAAAATGCTGCATTCCTCCTATTAGTTGAATCAGACGAACCTAATTCTTTAAGTACAATATTCATCACAGCCTGAAATTTGAAGTATATCCACTACATTAATGTCATGTGACCAGAAATTAAAAAAAATGCACCGTTAATTGCTCAGCATTACATTGACATAGCCAGCAATTGGAGCACCCATATGCTGGGCAACTTCTGCTAGGGTCGCAACAACCATGGTACGATCTTGTGGTGGGCTTGATGCTCTCTGCAATTGCCATTACAGAAACCAGTGAGAAATGAAATAGCCAGCAATTGGAGCACCCATACGCTAGGCAACTTCTGCTAGGGTCGCAACAACCATGGTACGATCTTGTGGGGGCCTCGATGCTCTCTACAATTGCCATTACAGAAACCAGTGAGAAATGAATCAAAACAAGTGCAAAGATTCATATTCAGATGCAATACAGTAAGCAGCTTTCACTGACCGCAAATTTCATCAAAGGTGCAAACAGCTGCGAAAAGATGGGAGCAAATTGAGCACCCATGGCCTTTGCAAATGCAGGAAGGAGGTCGGAAACAGCATCCATGAGCACTTCGTCATGTTCGGGATCGTCCTCATCAATCTCACTGTCAGATTCTATCTGTTGACATGTTGACTCCCCTTTAAGCAATATCGAAGTAGCTTCAACTAGTCGAGGAAAGTCTGCAATAGGAACATAGGAAAAAAGGAAAACAGCTAGTAAGTTTCTTCACAGGAAAAAAGACATTTCAGGAGACAAAAAAGAAGAGTCCGCCAGATTTCGCACTCACAAGGCTCAACAGCTATGAACCCAAAATCATTCATGATGTCAGCAATGCTCATACAAGCTTGAGCAACAACTTCCTTGTCATCATCTTCAATCATTGTTTTTATATAAATGTTCATCACATTATCTGTCACAAGAGATGGTAAAGGTTTTCACAGGTTGAGGAATAAGTGTAGAATTAAAAATTCCAAGTTCGTGAATGTTAAATAATTGATACTTACCAAGAACTTCTTTTGTCTTTGCAATTCCTTCCTGCAGAAAACAAGTGAATCTGCGATTTCAGTCAGAATATCCAACCAGATAGAATTGATGTTACTCAAAAGGATTTCATAACATTAAGAAACGACTAAAGACCTGTTTGACAACCATTATTGTAGAAAAAGAGTTTTGAATAGTGATTTTTAGGAGAATGCAAGGTTAAAAAGTAGGAAAAAGTTTTTGGTATACGTATATTTTATTGTGTGAATGTGAGGTTGAAAATAATCTTGTAGCAAATCATAAACTAAATTAATTGTCAAACAGGCACTAAATAACTTGAGGAATGGATACCATTTTAACCAATTTAATAGCATAAACTAGGCCTCATTTTGATTGTGCTAAAAATCAGATGCTTAATAGATTTTTATAAAAGTTGATGAACTGTGGTTAAAAAGTTGATAAAAGTTTTTGGTATCATGAAATATGTGGTTAAAATTAATTGTCTACTTTAACTTATTTTTGTCAACTTTTTTAGCTAAACCAAACAGAGACTAAATCTTAAAAAATTATATAAAATATCGACATGCTTAACAAAGTTGTGATAATAAAAGCCATACATTGTTTGAACTAGAAGAATAGTCAAAATTTGCCTGCACATCATGAATAGTGAATGATGGACAATATAATCAAAGAGTGCAAAGGAGGAGTGATATTTCGCACTCACATTATGACCATGGAAAACTGCATGAGCGGCCATCAATATATCTGCCACGCCATATTAATAAAACATGAGAGGGCAGTTGATATAAATGGAGGGCGTCATCCATCAATCAAAATGCAAGAACAGATATCAGGTTCAGATGTGCGAAGGAAAACGAAGATTCAGGAGAAGCTAAATTTTCCTTTTAGAAAACCATAATCCTAGTCCAAAGCCACTGCTGTTAGCCTGAACTCTCAATTACAGAGAATCGAGTTTATAGACATGACCAGGAGAAAGCTATAAAGCCAGTTGAAAGTTATTGCACGTGTATTTATCAACTTAAAGCTGTGGTCATACAGCATTCTAGATATGTTCCATATGACAACTGACAAATTAGCATCTTGAAGATATACAAGTAAACAAACATCTTTAAATACCAAAGGCCAGCATATAGCATTCATTTTGGGGAACAGCATAAAGGCAAAACAGCTGTTAAGACTTGAAATGTAACATATTACGATAATTATCCATTTCAAGATAACAACATTCTGTCATTGAGTTAGCAAACAGAAGCTAATGTCATCCTATTCCCAAAACTTCAATAAGACAACCCTCAAAAGAAAGCGAGAATTCAGGAGATTTTTTCTTTCTTCCCAAGTCGTCTTCTGGACGTGGGAAGGGTGAGTGTGGGTTCCATTTAATGATAGAAATGATGTGATCTGTTGTATCTTTTCTTTTCAGCAAAGGCATGTAAAATAGGTTGGGGCTTCCAACACAGGAATTTCTAAAGTTCGATATGATTCTACAAAACTTTACAGTTTTTATTACTGGTATCTTCAGACAAAAGCACCAAGCATTAAAATGGATAAATTAGGATTATCCATGCACGATGACAAGTACATAGCAAGCTTCTAACTGAAACTCACATTTTAGAGCAATAATTGCCTGAAGGCGAACATCCTCGTGGAAATATGTTGAATGTCTAACAAAAATCTTAAAGGTCTCCTCTAAGTACCTTAATTATATATTAAGGCATCCAAAAATGAATGTTTCCTGTTTACAGCAGGATATAAGTAAAATAAATAAATACAGAAGAAAGCGAAAAGGATACGGTGCATAGGAACTCTTCGTGTGGAGAGCAAATAACCCAAGAGCTTGTGTAGCTGCTGCTTTTTCATCCAAAACCCCTGTTCTCACACTGATATTGCGAACCCTCGGTTCATCATGTGCTTCATCATCAGATGAGACTCCACCAAATGCATTAACATTCTCATTCTCATCAGAATCATCAATATCCACAGCAGAGCCGTCGTCCAAATTGCAGGAGGAAAATGCCAGAGGAACTACGTGTGGAAGATACTGTTCCAAAATATAATGCATAATTTTAGATGTAAAATAACATGTGCAAAAAAGGGGTAAGATGTAGTGAAATAAATTATGCCTGAGTAAATCCATCGTCTAAAAGTTCTGCAACATTGCTGAAGAATCCATGAGTGTACTCCCGAAGCTCGCTGAATTCCAACCCGAAACCCTGGAATATAAAACCCCTCATCAAATGTACCAAAAACAAATAACCTCTTTAATATCAAAGGCAACAGTTAATACAGATATTGCAGCTTCAATGAAGGGAGGCAAAATTGGCTCCATCCTTGCCCTCCCAACAGACATTGCAACTATTCCAACCAGTTCAGTAGCCCTCGCTCGTGACCGGAGGTCCTCGTCATTTTTAAGAACCATGAAGATTTGCATCAACTCAAGAACCTTTTCAGCATATGGAACAAAAGCTTGTTCTGCAGCAGATGCAACTGAACCAATTGCAGACTGCAATAACATCAAGCAAAGATCAGTGCAACTTAGAATTTTAGAGCATTAAACTTCTAAGCAAATACAATTAATTCTTACCATGCATGTCTCCTGCAAATTACGGGTGCTACTTTGGAGGGCACCAACTAATTTTCCCATCAAGGGATCCAGAAAAGGAAGAATTTCCACACCCATGTTCTCACAAAATGCTGCCAATGCATAATAAGACTTCTCCTGCCAAAGGATAAGTAAAATATTAGAAAGTAAAGAGAGAGTGGTATAGTATAATTACTAGATTTATCATGTCAGTACCTTAACTTCATCAGACACATCCTCTAAGGCATTCAAAATACTAGGAAGAACACTTTCATAATGAGATACTATCTCAGGCTGCAGATGCTCAGCAAATTGACCCAGTGCAAAGGATGCAGCACCTCGTACCATTTGTTCAGGATCTCTAAGGGCCGCCAAGACAATATGAAGAATAGGTTCCAGTTTGTTTTTCATCAACTCCAGACAGCCCTCTGAAATAACACCTAAAGATGTAACCGCAGCTTCCCTAAATTTTGGATTGGCACTCTGACTGCTAAGAGAAGCAAACTCAAAAACAGGTGGGAACACTTGCTTTGACAGATTTAGAGCCATGGTATCGATGACTTCTGCAGCAGCTCGGTCTGGGGCAAGATCATCATCTTCATCCCTGTTTGTTGATTCTGCAAGCAATGGACACATAATTTGCAGGATTGGCGCTACGAGCTTGTACTTTTTGAGCGAAATGGATTTATACTTCGCAAGCCATGAAATTATTTGAATAGCCTGACATAAGACACAAAACAAGAAAAATAGTAAAGTAACTGCTTCAATAACAAAAGGACAACATAGCTACGAGTTTAATGCTAAAATGAGTAGATAGGATTGTAGTGGACTCTCCTGACCTGATGTCGTGTATTAGATTCCAAATTTGGACTTGAACAAACTTCAAGAGAAAATTGAACTATGGCTTTGACAGATTCGCCAAGAAGAGGAGCAGGAGACTCAATTAGCTCATCAAATATTTCAAATGCAATCACTGCAACATCCTCATCACCAGAAGCAATGCATTGTCTCGACACATTCAAAATGCTGGGAATGAACTCACGAAACTTGATCTTCAAGATTAGAGTATTGTATTAGCCTCAAGAATGCCCAAAAACAATGATTCAGCCATATTAGAGCATAATACTACTAAAATAGTAACTAAAAGAACCAGCTTATCAACACAGTTTGTCGTAGATCATTCATTTTCATTTCATAAGGGTTACAGTTACAAGTTTGGATCAAAATTATGCACTCATAAAAAAATGATGAAGATATCGAAAGCAAGCCTTCACATTTCCACAATAAACATAATGATGTAGCCAACTGCTTCAAGCTTCTCCTTCTTATGGAAACAGAGAGATCGTACTGTGACATGATAACAGTGCTAAACCCCATAGGAATCTGAAGTCTCACAAGATAAGACATCTGATGTTGGGATATCCTTTTTTGCTTTCATGTGCCCCTCACCCCCAAGAAGTCCTGGGATCTCTTTTCTCTCTTTTGTGTGAGGGGCAGGGTAAGGGAGGATGTATTAGGGGGAAAAAATCATTATAAGAGGATTTATCTAAAATAAATAGCTAATTTAATCATTCAATATGTTGAAGAATCATTATAATTACAAGGAAAATGAATTTGGGAAAGAACTCAAAAGACAAAGACGATAACAAGTCAAGTCTTATTCTCAAAATAATTTAAGGTACAGATCCTTTTTCACCCATCCATTAGATCCAGCAAACTTGTAATAGAATTTTAGTGAATGAATGTTTTGCAACATTTGACCATGTTAGTATTAATTTAACTATCCACTTTTAACATGTTCTACCGAGATCAAATTGCTCTTATGGATGAGACTACGGTAGCTTCTCTAGGCCTAAGTAAAGGCATGCCTCAACCATCTACATCATCCCCAATTGCCGTCACCTCCACTTGTTGACATATATCACAATTTCTATTTTATTCATTGCAGTATAGTCAGGCATCCATCTTAATATTTTCACTTAAATGAGTAAAATTAATTGAATCTAAAATGACATGCATAATGCCTAAGGTTTGGGAATCTCTAATTCCTTCAGGGCTCCTATAGGTCTCCTCTACAGATTACTTTTAACTGACATCATCTATAAGAGTTTGATACACACAGAGTATCATAAAGTGAGGATTGAAGGATATATCAAAATAAGAATTAGCAGGAAATGGGGTGATGATGTCCTATAATCTAACTTATCATTTTTTAGGTGTAAAAATGTTTATGATGCATAAATATATGATAAGCATGTAGACGTAGTTAAATATTGGAATCCATAAGGAGAAAGATAGAGACAGAAAGAACAAAATAACTCACCACTTCTACTTCATCATGAGTGAACTCGAGAAAAGAACCAACAGCCCTGATGAGATGATGCATAAAATATATAAGCATCTTTCTCATTATCTTAATAGAAGTCAAACAAATTTTTCGAAACAAATATTACTTGAGAGCAGCAACTCTAACACGGTTACTAGTCTCATCTTGAAGGCACTTGAGTAGAAGTGATTGTAGATCGGTAAAATAGGGTTGGAATGAATTCCCAATTGTTTCAGTCAAGGAGCTGAAAAGTATCAATGCCACCTGTATCAGAAAGAATAAGCTACAATTTTTTAGCCTGTTATAGTAGGTAGTTGAAATGTAAAAAGAAAAATAACAAAAAAGAAGATCTAGATTTTTGCCATATAGGATTCAATGTTTATCTGTGGACAGCACTTCTCCTAGGCAGAGGGGATACATATACAGCAACTGCAGGATATTCATGTGTCAAAAAAGTAAATTGGGATTTCATCCATAATGGAAATTAACACTAGCCATGTATGATTTGCCATAGTTCATGAATGATCCTCAGTCATCAAAAGGGCTTTAGAATCAAAATTCACTTCCCCTTTAACTGACAGTTGATCATGAAAAATGTGGCCCCTTATCTCTTACCGGTAGCTTTTATGGCACGCTTCTCACACGACATGCATAAATTTAGTAGCACAATGTATCCTTCCTTTCAATTAGTCCGAACAGCATAATTTATGAGTTCAACAAAATCGTCCAAAAAGCGATCAAAATGGGGAAATAACAAAGATGTATTCAGATTTTTTCAGTACGTTGGATTCAAGTTTTATGAATATTGATCATCCACAATGCTGGAAAAATAAAGATGGGCAAGTGATGGTGGATACCCGATACTGGGAGAAACTGCGAAAGATTTGAAGAGTTGAGGAAGTTTCCAGGAAAGATAAACAAAGAGATTCAACTGACACTAGTTAAGAGTATCAAGGAGATTTGAATTTTTGCTAACTGTGACAATAAGAGAAGAAAGATGGAAATTTGATGCATGAAAATGAGAATACGAGTTCGTGCTGGAAGTCTAGAAGGTGATATAGTTACGCTAGTATGTACATACAGCTATGGGTGTTGTTGCTAGTTTTCAAATCTTGGTTTGTACAGCTAGATATTGCTTGATGAGTGGGGAAGCTCGCACGTTTTGCAAGTATTTCCAAAACTTGTGTGTTTGTTAGGAGAGGTGACATTAGAACTTGACTGAGTCACTTATTTGGTAAATTGTAAAACCCTTCTGATTTGAAAGTGCAACAGAAACAGCAAAAGCAATATATCAAGTATTAAGTTAAAAACAGATTCTGCAAAAGCACCAACAGGTAAAAAAACATACTTCTCTGTGGTCTTCTTGAGGACTTTGACTACATTGAAATAGAAATGGCAATAAATCAGGCCATTCTCCAGCTGGAACAGCATACTTTGCAATGATACTCACCACATTTGCACTGGCTCGTCTCACCGGTGGACTGGAAAAAGAAAAGGCATCATGTGAACCATTTTGACCAAAAAATCCACAAGTTAAAGAAAAAAAAGTCTAACAACAATAATGAACATAAATCCTAACTTATAGCATGATTTGGTACCCAAAAACAATTACCTCTTTCAAAGTTTTTACAAAGATAAGTATGACATCAATATATACGGCATGATTCAGCAGGAATTTGTATTTACTAATAAGAAAAAAATAATTGTGAAGACGTCGAATTGATTTATAATGAATTGAATACTGATGAATTTGGAGAAACACTAAGAAATTCAATAAATAAAACACGCAAGCTATGTCTAGAGGCATATATTGGGGCCTTGGAATTAAATTTCATTAAAAAGAATATCAATCCAGAATGTGGGGTTCAACTATAACTTACAACTGTTCAGCAGCGTGCATAAACTCAACCAAAAACTAAACAAATGTAAAGTAATTTCCCATGTAACTCATTGCACAATTGTTATTCACAAAAAAAATCAACAACAAATATTATCCGAACCTGTGTTCCATGGTGATGCTTTCGATGAGGGACTGCTTGACGAGCTGTCGAATTTGGGGAGAGAGTTTACCCCAGTGTCCTGTGATCTTCTTGCGGAGGAGCACCGCGGCGAGTTGCCGCACATTGGGGGTCTTGGCAGTGCGGAGGTGGTGTATTAGCGCCGGTACCACCTGCGGATCCTTGGCCAGCCGCTTTATCTGGTCCTCCGCCTGCCGCCGCGCGTCATTGTCGGGCATCAAGAATTGAATCAGTAGCAACTCTAGAGACTGCGCCATCGCACTCTTGCTAGCGTGTGAGAGAGAGGAGGGTAATGTATGGAGGCTACGGCGAAAAAGCGAAGCCCTATAGGCGAGAGAATGAGGGTTTTGCTTTATATACAGAGGAAGGGAGAGACGGCGGGCGTTTTTCTGAGTGTAGTGGGGACGGGTACTTCTTTAGGGAAAGGGTTCAACGGTGCCGGGAAATTTGTCGACACGCGCTTTAACTGTGTGTTAATAATTTGCGAGTCTCTTGAAATTATATTTTTAAAATATATATTTATTTTTGAAATAAAATGTATGCACAAATAAATAAAAATAATGAAATATTTCAATGTTGGTTCTCGATATATTGTGTGAATAGCAAATTAATACTTCACGTAATTAGGTTCCCCAATGGTGCAAGTGTTAATTAGGTGTTCTCAATCGACTAGTTGATGTGAATGAACTGAGAGTTGTGTATTAACCCTCGTTAGGTACCAATTACTTTCAAAATATGTTTTTCTCTCTTTTATTTTTAATCACATTTTTTAACAGAATATCATTCCAAATTACATTTTGGACCAAAAAAAGGAGCTCAATCGAACGCTTAATCTTTCAAAGTTGCTTGAGAGTCTTTTTACTTATGGCATAATTGATCTCGCTGGTAAAAGTAATACAATATGGAAGCCCAATTATTCCCTTATCATTTTTTGAGATGCCTAGTTGTGCCATTTTTCTTATCTGACAATATTATTGTTATGCTAACGACATTTCGAATCTTATATTCTTTAGATGCTAGCAAGTAATTGACCATCGGAGTTTTATTATAACAGTTGCACCATCCAATTTGAAATCGTCCAAATTTTCACATAATTGTCATGGACTTTCTTGTGGAGATATGCCTCGTTGAAATTCTTAAGCACCCATTCAAATTTAAAAATAAAATCTAGCTCGGTATAATTGACCACACGAGGGTCACAAGACAATTTAATTGAGATTGATAATTCTGTACATTAGAGAAATGTGCTAACAAATTTTTTTATCATCGTATGATGTACACAATTGAATATCTAGCCACGTTCTTTTTTGAAGGCACGAGTGATAGGGAAGCAAGAAGACGACATGCTTTGAAAACAAAAAGTTTCAAAATTTTAGAATTATGAACTTTTTTCGTTATTTCAAAGAGATTAATCAAGTGTTATCTCGTGTTGATTCGTACAAATCTTTTAAGTTTTATGTTTAGTTAGGACAAGTGATAGAAACAATTAAAAAGTGATACCAAAAAATTACGATTTAATTCACATAGAAAGAGACTATCCGCAAGTAAGAAATATAAGTCTTCAAGTCAATAATCCCCTCCCCGTAGGATGGAAGAGGAAAAGGTTTAGCAGACTTCTAAAGTTAGAAGGGGTTAAAAACCACGATAAAAAAGTTCAGGGACCAAATACAAATTATAAGAAATTAGATTACATACAAACTCGCGATTTCTGACATATAATATCCACAATAGAATCGCAATAAATTAAAATAGCGACTTCGATTCAAGAATCATCCACACCGATTTGCGATTGGGTTCGTTCAACGTACCGTCATCTCAATTTCTCAGCCATTTTCTGTTCAAATTTTACGCACACAGCATACGGAGGAGATGAGGAAACGTGCGACGGCGGCATGGGGAGTGGCAATTGTGTGTTTCGTGGTACTAATGTTGGTCACTCCCAAAATCCCCCAGTCTCAAGAATATCATGACTTCGCCGATCAACGTGAAGTTTTCGGTAATTTTCACTTCTTCTGTTCAGTTTACAGGAACGATTGGATTGATTCTTTAATTTTTTATTGTTGATCTGTCGGAGTTTATTAATTACATATGCTGATTTATAGGACTTTTTTGAAGGTTAGTTTATCTGAAATTAGAAATTCCATCAAAAATTGTATGCTTTGTATTGGTTCTACGTCTCTCGTTTTTTTCAATTTTTTCCCATTCTCTTACTCTCTGGACTCATAATTCACTGTATTACTGCGGAAAAAGATAGGTATTGCCCAGTTTTGGAACTGTTATTTTTTTTATTGCAATCTTCATAAACCTTGATCACAGTGAAATCATCTTGATCATTTATTATGGCAAAATTTGTTCTTTTTCTAATTTTAAATAATTTTTACACAATCCACTAGGAATGTATCTAAATAATGACATCTGAAGTAGGAGATATGAATACATTCTGAGTAAAGGTTGTGAATTGCTGATGCTGCTTAGAATATGATCAAATTATAGTCTTTGTTCCAACTTTTTTTTCTAAGAAAATAAAAATTATGTACAAAGGCGCAGTAATAACTATTTTAGAATCGCAGTCACATTGCATTGATTTTTGCTCGGGATTTTGGTTTTTCAGGGATACCAAATACGTTGAACGTGATCTCGAATTTCCCATTTTTGATCATTGGTCTAATAGGTCTAATACTTTGCTATTACAGAAACTATTTTAAGCTGAGGTAAGATAATCATTATTTTCTTTCAGTGGTCAAGTGCTCATAAGAAATTCATTTTCACCTGTATGCTTGTACTTCAAAAGCTTGCAGGGTGAACTCTTGGGTTGGACATGTTTTTACGTTGGCGTGGCAGCTGTTGGTATTGGTTCCTCTTACTATCATCTCAAGCCTAATGATGAGCGCCTTGTATGGGATCGCTTGCCGGTGAGCTTTTTTGGTGTTGCAAACTGCTGGATCACTTCATTTGTTATTTTCGTTGTTTCATTTTCAATTTATTGGCTCCACCTCATATGAGAAGCAATTGGCGCTTAACTTATGATATTTGTAGATGACTATTGCATTCACATCTATCATTGCGATATTTATAATCGAGAGAGTAGATGATCGCAAGGGAACTGTGTCCATTATCCCCCTCCTTCTGGCTGGTGTAGTCAGCATATTGTATTGGAGGTAAGCATTCTTTTCATTCAGGCTGTGGTGATGCAATTTTTTGTCTTACATTGGTCTAGTGACAAGATGTGCTTTGTCACTAACTCTTATTATATTTTAGACATCGACTGTGCAACAGCATAAATTTTCAAGAAAGAAATTTCTAGTCAAGCAGAGTTGGGTTTTGGAAATACGTGATAACTATAAATTAATTACGGCGATTCACCTGAATGGGAGTGCCCCTCACCCTTTTTCTGTGGGTGGAAGGAATGCAGCAACAATTTAAGTCCATTACCAGTAAACTTGGGGTCTGCTGCAGTGTGCTTGTTCACCCTTTAGTCAATCTAGCACTAGCTCTACTTGAAGTTCATATGAATTCAAATCTTTTGTGACAATATAATATCATTTTAATTTTGGTATAACTTTTTCCTCTGATATCATGTTCAAAGGGGACCACATTGTAACAAATTCTATTGAAATCACATTGTTCTTGTGAACTACACGAGACAATCCCATCATCGAAGTTGTTCACCCATTACTCCTTTTAATTGATGTCATCTCCAACTCCAACTCCATCTCCATCTCCATCTCCATCTCCATCTCCATTCTTTTTTTTTTATCAACTCTTATATGGTGTAATCAAACGTATTATTCTCATTTCTGCTATGTTTACTTTATGGAGTTTTTGTCACTTAGAATCTGCACTCTATGATGAAGTAATTTTTCGAGATCAATAATTTCTAAGGGATTTTTGCTTGTTGCCCCAACTAAAGTAAACCCTGTATATTTATTTACATTTCTTTGTAGGTTTTTCGATGACCTGCGCCCTTATGCTGTGGTACAATTTGTACCTTGTATAGCAATACCAATAATGGCTATATTACTGCCTCCTATGTACACACATTCCACATATTGGCTTTGGGCTGCAGGTTTGTTGCTTTTTCTGTTACAAAGGGTCCTGCTGTATGTTCTGTGAGTTTCCACGTAAGATTTCATTGTACAATTTGCAGGGTTTTATCTCCTAGCTAAGATTGAAGAAGCAGCTGACAAACCCATTTACAATTTGACTCATCATATTGTGAGTGGGCACACACTAAAACATTTATGTGCAGCAATGGTCCCTGTCTTCTTGACTCTTATGCTTGCAAAGAGGGATATTGCAGAAGAAAGGTATCATTTCATTTTAGTAACTGTTGTTGTGTCCAAATATAACCATTGTTGTAAAAACCAGACTGGTCTGCCGGTTTGACGGGAAACGGATGGGAAACCAGTCTGGTTATATGGTAATTACTGTTTAGAGAAAAAAGGCACGAAAGCCAGTTCATCTGGGAACTGACTAACCAGCCACGGCCTTCATGGTTCTCACAGTTTCGTTTTTCAAAAAAGAAACACAATAAATTACAACCATACCACTTTCATCTTCACTCCACGTGACAGCTTTGATAAAGGGGCTGCAGTTGCTACTTCCACTGCCTTTGTGGGAGAAATTTTTACAGAAGGAGAAACTGAATTGAATCGCGCTCTCACCTGACTTGTAACACTGCTGTTGTTAACCCAGAGTTTATGTTAGCCCTATTCTCTGAGTATTATTTATTTAATTTCTACAAAAATTAACTGAGATGCCAATGAAGTAAATTGTGCAGTATCCACTCCTATATCTCTATACCTTGTTTTGTTTTGAACATTGATACATGTTCTTTCTACTGCTCCACTTCAGGCTCAGTTTACTGCAGATTTGGAGAATATCATGGAAAAAGGTTAAGAAAAATGGTAAAGACGAGGAGAATCTCTCGTCTACATATTCTGTTGTTCCAGTTGTTGAGTAATCACATTAACCCGAAGTTCCAGATTTCCTTATCCAGGAACAAGAAATACTTCAATATCATTTGTTTAATCCGAAATATCTAACTCGTCCTTGATTAGTGTATATAAAGCACAGGTTTCATGTCAGTTCCTTTAATAGTGCTGCGACTTGCCGTAGAATGTGATCAGATTATAATCTTTGATCTTGTAACCTTGGATATAGCTGTCTTTAATATGGAAGAATAGATGGGAATCTTCTTAATGAATTATGTTCACGGCAGTTTCTTCTGATACAGACACTTTACCTCTGTATAGATTCAATATGAGTTTTAATTTATTGGGACTTAAAGTTTCACCCCCCGTGTATTTTGCTTGAGAATAAAGATTAAAAAACATGTATACGTGTCTGCAAGAGTTTTTTTTCCACTTAAATGGACATATAGCTTTCATTTTTACAGGGTTTCAGGTTTGAATTGCAACAATTGGACAGCCCATGTTAGGGATCTTTATTTTTTTATTTTTCAAAACCAGATCTTTATTTTTTGGAGATGGGTTCGACTATGGTGCAACAAAGATGAATAATGCTATGTAGCACTAGTCTACGTGTCTTTAAATTATAGGTCGTCTTAACGACACTTGTATGCTACTCTTAAGATGATTGAATCAACTAATGATTTAAATGACACCTAAATTGATGCTAAATAATATTACACAACGCAATGTTATTAGGAAACACGAATCGTATATGTTCAATGTGAGGTAAAGATTTCACTTAAGACAATCCACCCACTTGTTATGAAGATTTCATGAGGTGAAGATGAATATTTTATTTTCTTAAACTGATTGTTTAACTAGGGTTTCATTGTTAGAGTTTTGTTTTAACAAGAAGCAAACCGATGACCACCATAACCAAAGATAAATTCATGAAGTATTTTTCTCATAAAATTTACGGTAAACTATGTCGTCATTTTCCACCATTCCACCACAAATAAATCTTTAACAAGGACAATGAGTATGCTGTTTAGTAGAACTTTTCAATTTCAAGAGATAAGATTGTCCAAAAGAGGTGAAATTGTCATAGATAAATGTGGATGTTTGTGTTAAGGTCGTAAAATACAGTTAGATCAATTAATTCTTAGCATAATAAATACTTTATTTAATAATAATAAATGCAATGATTCATCAAAATGGGGTGGTGGCGCAGTTGGCTAGCGCGTAGGTCTCATAGCTTACTGAGTGATCCTGAGGTCGAGAGTTCGAGCCTCTCTCACCCCATAAACTTTTTCCTCCCAACAAAACGGGTCTAAAAATATTAAAACAAAAAATACACTATATATAATTTTTTAATCCTACCTTTTTTTTTTTTTTTTTTTTTTTTTTCTTGACGAAATTTCTTATTTCCCTTTTATTATAATTTATCAATTAATTTCGTTTTGCACAATCCTTCTGAAACCACTACCAAGTTATTTAGGACACATCAAAATCATTTATTTAAGGTACCAGAAAAAGAAGGAACAAATAATTGAAATTGAAATTGTATGATTTGATTAGGTAACAGCCCGACATGTGTAATTAGGTAAAGTGAGTGAAGTACAGCATAATCCGAATTCTTTCAAAGATGAGCAACGTTTCTAGTAGTTTTTATTATTATTATTATTATTTATTAACAATTTATTTTTTCTGGTAAATCAAATTTGTTAAACTATCTATATTATTAACTAAAAATTATTCATAACTTTAATTTTTTAATATTATTAATTACAACACACAGATTTTTCATTAAAAATAATTTACAATTTTTGTTAACAATCATACTTGACAACATCACATTCATCCATTTCAAAAATTATTTTTAAAATTAATGGTCCAAATTTTGACGACATCAATGTTGTCGAGTACAAATAGATTAATTCTTTAAAAATTGTAAGCCTTCGATAAAACTGTACTGGATGATTGTTTGTGTGTTGTGTGCAACAGCCAATAAAATCTTGACATCTGGCAATTTGGCAAAACAAAAAAAAAATTGTATACGGCCCTATACATGTTAGCAAGATTCTTTCAATAATAATAGAAAGCAACCATGTTTGATCGAATTCGACATAAACATACATGCATAAAATAGAAAACATCATATATTAAATATAATGGAACATCTGCTGGATCTACTTCAGTCGTTGGCAACAATTCGCTTGTTGAATAAAAGTAACAACAGAACTGCCCCAACAATTACACTCGCTTTTGTTAACCATTTCATTTATTTTTATCATCAGTACCAGTACACAAAATTGTAATAGAACATACTAATCATTTTTCTCATTTTCCAAGTATTTCATCAGCTGATAATTTATAGAAACATCTAAAGCAACTATGAAGAGTGTTAATTACCGAATTTTTACTGTTCAAATGGCTTTAACTGTCCAAATTTCTCATTTAAGCACTTAATATAACAATTTGGCAGAAAGTTGTCAACCTCATAATTACATACTACTGTGAAACTGAAATCTCTAGATGGCGATATAAGCCTACCAACAAGAAGCGTGTGTGTACTAAACGCAAAAGCAAACATTATAAACTTAAGAAGCATGCAAATGAGGTTGGAACGGTCAATCTTTGTGAGCAAACACTTGAGGTTTCAGTTTCTTGTCAAATTGGAGCATCTACCAAATAACAGAATGCAATGTAAAATCAACCTGAATCAAAGCTTCTTGAGTTCAGAAATGGAGGTCCCATTACAAGACTTATACTATTCATTCTTTTTTGCTTGTTTTCATCTATTGTCAGCAACTGCTTTGCTCTTGATTGTATACTTCTTTCTTTGAAGATCCACTTGCATTTATCTCGTCGATTTCTCTTGTTTTCGACCACAGATGACTTGCGAGTCTCTGACTTCCAATTATCGAACATTTCGAAATCTGTGGCATTCATGAGAGATGCGATAGATTTCCAGAATAATGTTGCTGAAAGAACGGGCATCGGATGTGAGGACGGATTTCCGCTTCCTCTGTATCAAATTCCACGGGATAAATCTCTTGACCAGAGTCAATAAGAAACTGAAACCGTCCTTTTAACAGTGGTGAAGTATCTCCTCAGCAAAACACAACAAAAATACCAAAAACATTGACATACTTGTATCCAATTGTAGTATCCGTAAAAAGAACTCCTTAAAGTCCACAGGAACTCATTGGCTTTGGTTCTTAACATGGAAGCGGCGGGTTATGATGGTAAAATGACGTCCATGCTTCTAGCTAACGCGCTATTCTGAAGGGAGGAGTCACTGTCTTGTTGTCTAATAAGAAACGCGACAAAAGGAGAGCAAAGTACAAGCTTCAATATCTGTTAAGAACACGCATGGGATCATTTGATCAATCTTACCAGTCTGTTTTCCAGGAAAATAATGAATTCGGGGCGCATAGAAGTTTCACTATCAAGAACACTTCTACATGTGGCAGGGAATGCTCTGAAGACAAATGTAACAGAGTTGGGTCCATGCATTTTACCATACTCTGAACAGATCCACTATGGATTCTCAGTAATTCATGGGAAATTTTCTACTTCAGCAAGAAGAAAGGAGATATATGTTCCTAACTTCAAGAAGGCATTTGACCATTTCTGCATACACGCTGGAGGAAGGGCAGTCATCGACACTGTTTAGGAAAAGCTAAAGCTGAATAAGAAGATGGAGAAGCCTCGAGGATATGATTTTCAATTTGGTAACACTTCACTGTCTTTGTTTTGTACGAGCTAAGCTACCTGGAAAAGGGGAAATAGGGTCTGGAAAGTTGCTTTTTGTAGTGGATTTAAATGTAATTGTGCTTTGGGAATGCATTTCAGATTTTAATACCAAGACAAGACATGCATAGTCAGTTAGAATACATATGTATCCTGTGCAAATCCCAGGCCATGCTGATCATTAACCCAGGTCGTCTTGTTAGTCAACATAGAATTCTTTTTTTTTGATAAGTAGTCAACATAGAATTCTCTTAATATGAATCACGAGAGACATAAAATAAGCAATTATTTCACAGAAAATATTAAATAAATAGAGGGTGCAAGTTACGTCATCTTCAGGGCAAACGTCTTTTGTTGATAGAAAACGTGCTAAACTTTTGCTGTATAAATGTACCGAGTAGAATCAAGTCTTGTGCATACCTGAAATGTCATGCGTTCAGATTCATTTCGTCTTCCCCTCACGAGAATTATTTGTTTTCAACACCATAAACTGCTTGGACAATAGTTCCATGATAAGTTCACGACCAAACAAGTGGGAATTTTTTAGAATCAAACTTCTTGTAGATGAATCGACAGCATAGCCTTGACCAGGCATCCACTTGAGCAAGTGAAGAAGCAATGCTTTCTTATCAGGTTGCTGAATATAACGAGATATGGCCATATGAAATATTTCCTGAAAAAGACAAGGCAAAGGATTCATTCTTGAATCTACTAGGACAGCCAAGGTACACTAACAACAGAGGTTACAGAGCTTTCATCCATATCTAGAGAATCAACAAGGTCAATGTGAATTATGTACAACCATCAAATATTAGCCCCTAAAAAGGTTCTCATGAAACTCAATCCGAGACCAAACATAGACTTGGATGTTCTCCTAGCTCACAAGGGTAAAGAATTCAATCCAGCCCAATGAGTTGGGAGACAGACAGCCAGAACCATGTATTTCACGTCTATGTATGAAAGGAATAAACTTCATCAATCGCTCGACTCAAAAAATCAAATCATCACCTGATCAATCTTGTAACCAGATCCGTGAATAGACTTTAGCACATCATTTATCAAGTTCATATTGCCTCTTTTCATAAAGGAGGTAGAAAACTTCCTTATAGCAGCCCGAGAGATCAACTTTGCATTGTCCTGAAGTATGCAAGTGATTAGAAATCAATCATTCACAAGACATAACTTTATTGAAGATTGTGTTACTGGGTAATTACATACCTTGACCACTACATATGCATCTTTGAGAAGTCCACCTGCAACTAAAATATGCAAAATCTTTTCATGAAGGGCCTTGCATGTGGTTTTCTTGCTATATCTCAACATATTGTACACAGAAAATGCTTCTGAATGGGCACCAGTTTTACCAAGGTGGTAAATTAAAGAGGAACAGAGGTCCTGCATAAAGAAAAATGGTATCAATGGGCCCACATTGCAGTTAAAACTAAATTAAACATGTCGAAAACCATCCTGATAACCAGAAACTATTCAGTCATCTTTGAACAACTCTCCATTGTGAATATCATACTCTTTCAGGGAAACAAATACTGATGTTGGAATCGATGTGNAATTTTCTACTTCAGCAAGAAGAAAGGAGATATATGTTCCTAACTTCAAGAAGGCATTTGACCATTTCTGCATACACGCTGGAGGAAGGGCAGTCATCGACACTGTTTAGGAAAAGCTAAAGCTGAATAAGAAGATGGAGAAGCCTCGAGGATATGATTTTCAATTTGGTAACACTTCACTGTCTTTGTTTTGTACGAGCTAAGCTACCTGGAAAAGGGGAAATAGGGTCTGGAAAGTTGCTTTTTGTAGTGGATTTAAATGTAATTGTGCTTTGGGAATGCATTTCAGATTTTAATACCAAGACAAGACATGCATAGTCAGTTAGAATACATATGTATCCTGTGCAAATCCCAGGCCATGCTGATCATTAACCCAGGTCGTCTTGTTAGTCAACACAGAATTCTCTTAATATGAATTTCTTTCTCCACGTGAGACATAAAATAAGCAATTATTTCACAGAAAATATTAAATAAATAGAGGGTGCAAGTTACGTCATCTTCAGGGCAAACGTCTTTTGTTGATAGAAAACGTGCTAAACTTTTGCTGTATAAATGTACCGAGTAGAATCAAGTCTTGTGCATACCTGAAATGTCATGCATTCAGATTCATTTTGTCTTCCCCTCACGAGAATTATTTGTTTTCAACACCATAAACTGCTTGGACAATAGTTCCATGATAAGTTCACGACCAAACAAGTGGGAATTTTTTAGAATCAAACTTCTTGTAGATGAATCGACAGCATAGCCTTGACCAGGCATCCACTTGAGCAAGTGAAGAAGCAATGCTTTCTTATCAGGTTGCTGAATATAACGAGATATGGCCATATGAAATATTTCCTGAAAAAGACAAGGCAAAGGATTCATTCTTGAATCTACTAGGACAGCCAAGGTACACTAACAACAGAGGTTACAGAGCTTTCATCCATATCTAGAGAATCAACAAGGTCAATGTGAATTATGTACAACCATCAAATATTAGCCCCTAAAAAGGTTCTCATGAAACTCAATCCGAGACCAAACATAGACTTGGATGTTCTCCTAGCTCACAAGGGTAAAGAATTCAATCCAGCCCAATGAGTTGGGAGACAGACAGACAGCCAGAACCATGTATTTCACGTCTATGTATGAAAGGAATAAACTTCATCAATCGCTCGACTCAAAAAATCAAATCATCACCTGATCAATCTTGTAACCAGATCCGTGAATAGACTTTAGCACATCATTTATCAAGTTCATATTGCCTCTTTTCATAAAGGAGGTAGAAAACTTCCTTATAGCAGCCCGAGAGATCAACTTTGCATTGTCCTGAAGTATGCAAGTGATTAGAAATCAATCATTCACAAGACATAACTTTATTGAAGATTGTGTTACTGGGTAATTATATACCTTGACCACTACATATGCATCTTTGAGAAGTCCACCTGCAACTAAAATATGCAAAATCTTTTCATGAAGGGCCTTGCATGTGGTTTTCTTGCTATATCTCAACATATTGTACACAGAAAATGCTTCTGAATGGGCACCAGTTTTACCAAGGTGGTAAATTAAAGAGGAACAGAGGTCCTGCATAAAGAAAAATGGTATCAATGGGCCCACATTGCAGTTAAAACTAAATTAAACATGTCGAAAACCATCCTGATAACCAGAAACTATTCAGTCATCTTTGAACAACTCTCCATTGTGAATATCATACTCTTTCAGGGAAACAAATACTGATGTTGGAATCGATGTGTCATTGAAGGATTTCATCAGTTTCAACTCAAAGTTGTTGTCAGACCAGATAAACTCTATTAAGAGAGAAGATTACAAGAGGATGTAAAGCGATGGTGGATTTAAGAAAAACTAGCAAAAGCTTCTTCTAATTCCAAAATAAAGCTTAAAACAAAAATTCTTATCAGAAAATGACCAATAGCAACAAATAGTCTCATCGTTAGATGCTATTATGGCTAGATTAAAATGATTATTCCCCTAGAGTGAAGAAAAATTCCGAGACCACCTGGTAGCTTTTGTTTTCCAAGATCCCCATTTTCACATGCTATCAGTTGTTGCACCGATGAAAATCAGTTGTTGAACTTAAAATGGCATGATATGGTGATAAATTTCCTTTGCGGACGAGTGAATTTTAATTTCAAAATTAGTTAGCTACATATTAAAAACGTCCAAAAGCAAACTATGATTATCCAAATTTAGAATATTTGATTTCTCTCATCAACCCAAAAAAACCAAGCATCTAAGTACCAGTGATATGAAAGGATCAACAAACAATCATAGTTTACAGAAAAAGTACTAAGCAAAAGCTAATAAAAACCTCTGGGAAGCCTATAAGGCTATAACTGCACAATTAAGTGATGTCAGTAAAGAAGCCAGGTATCTGGTATAGGAGGCCATCATGTTTCCATGCATTATTTTTCTCCCAATTGTCAACTCTTAAAGTGCAAGTCAATTATTTTATTTAAGGTAGAGCACTCTCATAGATAGCACTTCAGTAGTAACTGCAGCCTACCTCCTCTGGTTCGTGACCTTTTCTGTGCATGTCTTCCATGGTACGGTATGCAAGTAGATACAACTTTTCCTTGCTAAAATATTTTATTAAAATATGAAAGGTATTCCAATCAGGGCTAATTGCTGACTCATCCATTTTCTTCATCATTTTCATTACATTCTCCATTTCTCCTGTTCGACAATAGGCACAGAGCATTGTATTCAAAATAACCACGTCATACTTGTCATATTTGGCTTCAAATTCACAAGCCAATTGCTTTGCATCTTCAAGGAGACCACTACGGCAGAGGGCTGAAATCATGATACTGTAGGAGTAACCATCTACAGATATTTTGAGCAAAGAAGGTCATGAGTGTGTGACTTACAAGTTGCACATAAATTATTACGCATGAGGTTCTAGTATATTAAACTAAAATAAAACAGGAAAAAGAGAAAACCGATAAACCTTGTGATCAGATCAAGCAGGTAAAGTCATATTCAAACCTACATTCATGGACAATTTTTGATACACCTAAGCTAGTGGCAGAAAGTAGAAGTAATTATATTAAAGTACAGTTGTGCCTAGCTATTGACATAAAAAATATCTGAACTTTCTATAAACCAGTTTCAACATACAAAAGGAGGAGCATGGCTAGCTACATATAATTTAATCCATAACAATTTTCGCATTGAACCCACAAATGTTTGTATTTTTGAGTTACATCGAGATCATTAGAACTTTCTCTTAGAGTCGAGTATAAATAGTCCATATGCATTCAATCCATTTAGGGTAAATCTTTAGCTGAAACAATAACCTGCCAAACATTCCTCTACATTGTGGATCACTTGCAAAGTAACATGAAATACACTGTTCAAGAGAAGTTGCTAGCTAAAAGACCCGTGTCTTCAACTGCACATACCATTTCTCACTTCGTTTTGCTTCATTTCATTAAAAACTAATCTGGCTTCCTTAAGTTTTCCAGACTTTGCGAGGCCATCCATCAGCAGACAGTATGGCATCTGCAGTAAATTAGAAGCAATTTTGTAGAAATAACAAATCCAATACCAAACAAAAATTAAATTTAAGAGCATGAAACTTTTTTACTCAAAACCTAAAATTAATTATCATAGTTAATTGCAAAATATATAGTACCAAGCAAAATTATTGGACTTGATCAACTCAAATCCAAGTCTCGCGCCAATTAGTCAAATCCTAAATTGAAACACATAGAGTCCAATCTAAATTTTCAAGGAAATATGTGTGAAGTATATGAATGATTACCTCATCTCCAGCATAGCCCAGTCTTTGGAGTTCATCCAAGAGTTCTCTTGATTTGTCAAAAAGACCTCCTTTTACATATACCTTCAGCAAAGTTGTTAAAATAACCTGAAAGAATTGCCGTGTATAAGAATAAATTGAATAATCCATGTGATAAGCAAAAGCTTGATGATGTCTATGCACTTCGGTAGCTGAAATATCAACAGGCCAGCTTTCAATACATCAGGTGGTCGCTCGGATAAGAATCTCTTGGCATAGAAGTTAATAAGCAGACAATCTCAGGAAAACGAAGAAAGTCTCAGCAGGACCGGAACAGATAAAAATAAAAAAGTTCAAAGTGTATCCAATAAAATAATAATTCATCAAAAGTACAAACATAAAGGATGTTCACCAATCATATTATTAAAGTACAGGGCCTTGCAGCATATGGACTAGGAGTCTATGACCATCCACTTGATTCTAGCAAAAACCTGGCAACATCATAGACTTCTCATGATATGCTTTTAATTAGATCCAACTTCACTCATAGGAGGTGGTTTGCTTTCTTAGATTAGTAAAAGAAGGCTAGTTTTTTAGACCTGAAACACTTTGCAGTATAGTCAATCATGTATAAATACAGTTAGGCATCAGTAAGCATTGAAGCTGGTACTAGTCTAACAGAGAAAGATTCCCTTGTTATTAATTTAGTTTTGAATTGCCATAAAGAAAAGGCAAAAGAAATTATATTTAAAATCTGAATATTACTTTTTTGGATTCACGAGTCTTGCAACATTTTGGGAAAAAACTCGAACTGTTCCAACATAGAGAAATAAATAAAACTATGGTGTCTTTACTTGTGTATAATAATCAGAACCAGTAAATTGCTTCTGCTACCATAGCGTCTCTGTTTCTCATTTCTATAACTGAAGAGCCATACATGCTCTATGAAGCAAAAAAAGTTAATTTCGCAATCTTATTGCATTATGGTAACTGATAAGACTCAACCAGAAGTCATAAAGTATTTTGAAAATAATGAAGAAAGACAAGGAGTTTTGCGAATTCATGAAAAACTGGAAGTTTATTCTTCTTATCTACATCATTACATGCTTCCATTGTTTGTTTCTTTTTGTTAAATCATAGTTAAAGAAAAAGGAAGAACAAGAGGATAAATGATATGCTCAGCAAAGAGCAGTTATTAGAATAGTTATTAAAACTGGCCCAGTCCGGAAATTGCCAAACCGGCTATAGGATCGCATAGTTGGACCAATTAGCATGTGAATAAGCCAAGTAACATTAGAACCGGTAAAATAAGGATAGAGACTCAAACCTAGACAATTTATGTGCTAAAGATCACCACTTACCATCATGCCAATTGACCTTTTATTCTCCATAGTAAGCAAAAAGAAGGTATTTAAAAGTTCTATTGTTTTATTTTTATGAATGATAAAGTTTATAACTTTTATTTGTTGCAAAAATAAAAGTTTTAAGAAACAATATAATTTACATCATTTGTAGAGCAATAGTGACATAAACTAATACATACACACTATTATTTTGTTTAAAAAATATATACTCCCTCCTTCCCAATAAAGATAGTCATATTTCTTTTTTCACACAGATTAATAAAATTTAGTTAATATAGTTGAAATAATAAATTTTACTATCATTTTTTCTAATATACCCCTATATTAAGGCAATCAATATTCAAGGTAATTAAATTATATTTGTAATAAAAAAGCATATTAAATAGGGGTATATTAGGCAACTAGTATATTAACTACACTCTTAAATAAGAAACATGACTTATAATTTGGGAAAGACGAAAGAGGAAAACATTACTAACTTTATGGGACGGAGGGAGTATATTTTTTGTATATAGATCCATTGGTTTGAACCCTTAACCCACTAGTTGAATCATGACCTGATGATCTGATCCGGGTCAACATCTGGGTTGGGTCTGATAACTATTGTTATTATTAGTGATAAGAATTTAATATTTCTATGATGCCCTAGTCAGCTACAGCTTAAAAATCTACTAGGTTAGGAAACCACCACCAGTAGTATGTGATAATATGACTGCTAAAAGACAAGTAAACTCATTGGTAAGAGGGAAAGAAAACAAACCTTATTCAACTCTAACCCAGCAGATTTCAACTCTTGAATTAACTCATCAGCTTTTCTATAATTGCCATCGATTGCGTACGCATTAACCAAAGAGCTGTAGTGAAAAACATTGGGAGCATGACCTTCGATCTTCATCTGCTCAAAGTATTTTTCTGCTTCTTCACACCGATTATTTGAAGCACATACAGATAGAAGTGTCCCGTATGTTATGCAATCCAAATGCAAACCACTAGACTTAATTTCCTGAACCAACTCCAATGCCTTTGAATAGCCACCTTTCACTTTTGCACAACCCACAAGTAGCTGAAGATACAAAACACCAAGACATGAGATAGCAAAATTGAATAGATAAAAGTATGAAGAAGAAGTCTTTGCTGAAACAATAAATGATTGTGCCTTCCACAAAATTGGGAAAGAGAAAAGTCGAATTTAAGTGTCTACATTGTATATAACAATGCAACCCCATAAGTTTCATTGCAACAGGTTATTGTGCTTATGCATCTATGGATACAACGCAGTGTTTATGTATCTACGGATACAATACAGAATAAACTGATATGCCATCTTTTCCTTTCACATAATACCCTTGCTACCAATTTGGATTACAATGGCGGACAATTGAAAAGTCTGTAAATTCCATGAAAATTAAAATAAGTGAGAATAAGAGTTTACACACCGTACTATAGGTAACAATATCAGGTATTAGACCATCTTGCTTCATTTGATTAAATACTTGGAGGCTGCCCTCAAACTTTCCACTTTTAACCAGACAATTCAGAACGGAATTACAGAGGGAGACACTGTTCCTTGTTGACTTGTCTTTGATGCTATTGTATATTTCTAGGACCTTTAGAGGATTGAGATGCCTCCCCATGAACTTCATATAACTGCTGTAAGAAGCAATATTTGTTTTCCCGTAGTGTTGCATCCAATCAAAAAGCTGCAAGGTTACATAGTAGTTATAAGTCATGAATTACCAAAATCACAAAAAGGCATTTAGATGCAGGGGATACAAAGGTGGAAAAATTTATGTGTGGAAATTATTAGCAGTTCTGAAGTAAAATAATTTTGCTAAAGGAATTTAGAAGTTGAGCATCAACACTGCTCATGAAGCTCAACCCTTGTGTATAGAAGAAAACTTCAACATAACCAAAGCAGAAAGTATAAGATCCTTACAAATAGATTTGTTATATTAACTCAAATTAAGATGTTGTGATGAGAAACCATGACTTCACTAATTAAACTGTACGGCTGTATCCAATTCACCCATTCAAAAGTCGAGTGTTAAGGAGTGGGAGCGGTCAACATCGCATTTTAATAAGGGGATATAAAATTAACAAGTCTTCTTCACAGTGCTAAACAAGCCAAATAGTTTTCACTTAAAAGACCCATGACAAACTAACTATCTAAACAGCCAAGCCAGAAAAGAGAAGGGAGAGCTAATATTTACACATGATATCATGTAGTAACTAAAGAAGAAAAGACTTTTGAGTAATTTTGTGTACATTAAAGCTATAAGAATTATATCAATGATTCAAAATCTATGTTGTGTAAATCTCTATCCATTAGCAGACCTTCCTGGCAACATAAATTTTTAACTACCCTAAGTATCGAAGCATGATAACCAACAAGACAAAGAAAAGCACAGAAGATATTTATCCACTTAAACCTGAGAAAGATCCTTCCATCTGTTTAACTTCCCAAAATGGCGCAAAATCACATTAAAGTCTTGTGCTTTCAACACCTCTCCTGATCTGTAAATAGATGATTTTATCAGCAACCTAGATTTTCAATGGCACGTCTCTCATATCGTGTCAATGAATCAATGTGAATGGGGAGAGAATCAAATGTACATTGTATGAGTAAAACATTGCTGATAACAAAGAAATATAACTTTCTCATAGCTGCAGAAACATATTACAGATTGTGTGTAAAAACTCACATGTCCATTGTAGAATTTATTATACATATTTTTAGATATTAGTACCATGTAATTGACATTTCAAGAACTGGATTTTCAAAGTTTATTGCATGTCAATTAACATTCTATAGGTTCTAGTTTAATTTCCAAATAAAATAGAGGTGTGGACTGAGAACTCGGCAAAGCACGGTGAAATTTCTCAGTCAACCAAAAGACAATTATACAGATAAAATTATGTGTTGAGAAGAAAGCAAGCGAAATGGGTCATTATCTTGGATATCCACTAAATACCCAATTATCAAAATCAGTTAGCCTTTGAAAGGCCAAAGCTCACGACAGTAGTAAGCTAGGATTTCACCCCAACCGCCAACCCTGCGTACACCCCCAAGCACATAATAAGCAACATAAAAATATCCATAAGTAGCAATGGCTAAATTCAAGTGAGTGAACATCAATAAAGTCGAAAAGAAAGAACCTCGAAAGAGCAGAGGCCAAGTCGGTGGACTGTTGAATGTCGAGCATTGCAGATTGTCTTATCGAGGACGAAACTGAAAGACTCTTCCCAGCTCTTCCAGTCGCATATATGGGCCCATTTTGAATTTCACTGTGTGTAGTAGTACTGGTAGGATTAGCAGCAGTGGCAACGCGGGATATGGTGGCGGGAGGATATTTCTTGATGGTACGGGTTGAGGTGAGACAGAAAATGGGTGGAAACCCGTTTCCATAAACCGAGGAAACAGCCGCCATTACTGTGTTCCGATAAGCTTGTGACTCTGAATTGAAGAACAGAAAGATGCCAGCGCTGAGGACCGAGAAAGATAACAAACTGCATTTGACAGAAGGGGTACTTTTTTAAATTACCCTGGTCAAACCCACCATTTTTTATTTTGCCTTTTTTTGTTTAGATTCACCACAATAGCCGTCTCATACTTAAAAGACAAAACTACCCTTAAAATAATATACAATTACAAATATATGATATTGTTAAAAAGACAATAATAGCCTTTTTAAGTTATAAAAATTTCCAAACACTTTTCACGTAAAATTTTGAAACCACTTTCTTTATCTGTTTACTCCAATACAGATAAAAATTGTTTCATTTTTCCTCTAGTTCAAACTTGAAAACGGATAAATTTATCACACGCATAAGAAAGAAATATTATTCACAGCCATCAGTGAAGTCGGTAAGTATATTTTTACGTATTTTTAATTTCGTTTTAGTTAAGTACATTTTTTATTCTTTAAATCTTATGTATATGAAAATTTTATGATCTTAAAATAGATAGAATCGATTTTTTTTTTGAATAAAAACGAGAAAAAAAATTCATTTGCATGAGATTTTCAGATTAGTGGTCGAAAAAAAACTACCCGGACTGGGCCCGGACGGTCCGGACAGTCCATGCCCGGACTTACAGTCCGG